CTTGTGTGTGGTTCCCCTCCCCCATCTGAGATCAAGCGTGTCTGGTATTTTTGTCAAAACCATCTGGCAACCCTAAAGTCATTCAGGGGAGCGGGTGGGAGCTGGGCCCCGGGCCCCAGTGACCTCAGCTGCCCAGGGAGTTTCCTGCCAGTACAACCTGCTGGGCCGAGCCTGGGGCCTCTCTCCAGCCAGAGGGAAAACAGCCTGGGCAGCACCCAGTCCGGCTCCCGCACACCCGGCCTGGCCCATGTGCCCCATTGGGGCCTGGCTGGGCTGCTCCCAGGGCTGAGAGGGGCCCGTTCTCCAGGCCCAGCTGCTCCTCAGCTTCTCCGCTCAGCTCCCAGGGGCCTTGTCACTCGCTGGGGGTGGGGGCTCTGGGACGGGGACACTGCCTCCCTAGGGCCTTGCCTGGGACACTCGGCTCTTTCCCCATGGGCCAGGCCAAAGCTTGGCCCTTGGGGTGACCAGCCTCAGCCCTATTAATATTCCCCTGAGACAGCCCGGTCCCACGGAGGCTTCTCCATCCCAGGCTGTGGGGCAGTCTCTTCCCAGGGTGGCTCACACCCGCACAGCAGCAGAGGTCCCAGGGTGGTGGGTACGGAGGGGGCAGGGTTCAGAGGGTGAGACAGGCCCATGGTGGGGGGCTGGGGCTGGATTCACTGCTGGGCTCTGAGCCTGCTCCAAGCATGATGGGGGGTGAGGGGCAGATGGAGCCTGGACCTACCTGCGTACAGTGCTTCTCTCACCCTAGAGGGGAAGGAAACAGAGCAGAGTCAGTGCCCATGGCCCAGCCCGGCCCCTTGCCCCAGAGGAGCCACACTGCTCCCCTACCCCACAGGTTGCTCCCCCAGGTGAGAGACCCACTGAAGGGCTGTGCTAGGGGGAGCCAAGCCCTTTTCACCAGCTGCTTTGTGTGGGAAGGGGGGAGCGGGCAGCTTTTCACCAGCCTTCCCAATGCCCTGCAGCCACCCCGGGCCCTGCTCCCTGCGCTGAGTTACCCTGTGAGCCCCCAGTGACTCAGGGGGTCCCCTCCCTGCGCTGGGCTCTGGGTGCGTCTGACTCCGTCTCACCTGCAGCAATTCCAGCGC